TTTCCCAAATTGAGCAAATCTTCCAGCAATTGGCGCAAGTGGGTACACTCCTCGGTGTCATGCCCGGCGCATCGATGGTAAGCACAATGCTTACTCTTATCAGGGCCGTCCCGATCGGGATGGGGGAGTTTGATGAGATTGCAGGACTGGGCGTACTGCATGGCCTCCGCGGCGGATCGGTTCAAGGCCGTAAACTCGCCATGCCTGGTGCGGGGTCGGGGATTGTCATCTCCCGATCGGTGTTCCGCCCGGCCGGCCGGTTTACGGGACGACGAGCCGACCTCCTGCGAGCGCTTGACAGCATTTGCCTCGCCCGCATTGGCATAATCAGTGACCCGTCGAAGGGCCTCCTCGTACGAGGTCGGGGGGTGAAGGATAAAATCCTGATATAGATGCCCCGCCCGGAGGGAGATATGGAGCATGTGGGTGGCGGTCGCATCATCCATGGGCTCGACCTCCCCGACCGCTGCTTTCCACTTGATGAGGAAGTCGGTCAAGCTTTCCCCTTCTAGCTGCTTGGCCTTTTCGAGATACATATAGGACTTCCTCACCACCTTGGAAGTGATGAACTTCCGCACAAACTTGATTGCCAGGGTCTCAAATTTGTCGATTGACCCCGGCTGCAGGGTTCGGAACCACTCTGCTGCCCGACCAGTGAGGGTGGAGTAAAAGGCCCTGCACATCACGGCGTCTGAGATGCCCTTCAGCATCATGTTGCTGAAAAAATCGTTCACATGAGCTTCAGGATCCGTCCGACCGTCGTAACTCTTCTCTCCCGAGACCTTTAAGTCGAGCGGGTAAGGTTGAGCCATTACCGCCGCTGTGAAAGGCGTCTGGTGGAGGGTCGATCGGTCGGTAGGGGGTGCTGCAGGGTACGCATTCCTGAGCTGCGCAACTTCAGCCTGGAGGTTGTAGAGCAATCCTCGGGTCTCGTTGAGCTCGGCGTTCTGGGCGGCTTGGGCAGTGTCCCGAGCGCGTCGACGTCGATGTGATCTCGACCCGCTATGCCCAGACGAAGCCTCCTGGCTGGCTTCCTGCATCTGCGCGTCTTCTAACCGGCGATCTGGATCTTGGGGTCCCAGTCTCTGCCGCATTTCCGGTCGAAGACGGTCAAAAGCTACCGCTCGGGCAACTTCCTCAGGATCCTCCGCTCGGGCAGGAGCTTCCTCTTCTTGCTGGGCCTGCGACGCCTCCATCGCAACAGCACCCCCCGACCCCAACCGCGAACGAGCCGAGCGTCGAGCCCGGGAAGTGGGCTGATGCTGCGGCTCTACTTGAGCGGCCGGGTATACTGGGGGGGCGGCGGCTGGAGCCGTGTACGCAGGTGTGTACGGCGCGTAACCGACCGGTGGTGTGTAATATACCGGCTGGCCTGGCCAATACCCGTATGGTTGAGGTGGGACCGGGTATGGATACTGACCGGGATAGACCATCTGAGGCATCGGTTGCTGATATTGCTGACCGGGCTGCTGGTACCCTGGTTGGATGTACTGCACCGGCTGTTGGGCGGCCGGGTATGCATTCGATGGATGCGGTGGCGAGAGGTTGAGGTTGAGGTCGACCGTTTGACCTTGCTGTTGGGTAGCATGGTGGTCGGATGAGCTCGCCGCATCCGCCTGGTCGTCAACAAAGTTGTTGCGTGCCCACGGATACATGATTGGTGAAGAGACCGGGTGCTCGTCGAAACGTTGGTTTCTTGCACGGGTCCCCACAGACGGCGCCAAAATGATACTGCTAATTCTACGTAAGCAATATAAATAACACGAGACCAAATAAAGCAAGTAAAGTCTTTATTGATCAAGGTAGAATTCCTAAGTACAATCTACTTGGTTGCTCTGAGTACCGACTGAGTGCGGTCGGGAGTCTCTAATAACAACCTATCGATCGTCCAAAAGTCCTCTACACTGTAGCTACTGTAGGTATTTATAGCCGCTATGCCGGGGACAAGACTCCGGCCGCTCAGCATGTCTTCCACGTAGCCCCCACGTGTCATCCTCTCGGGTGCCCTGTCTGTCACCATGAAGAGTCGCCACGCGTCCTTTCATGTCCTTGTGCCAGGCTCTTTTGTCAAAGGGCTACCGCTCGGTGGTTGACATCAGCGCTCGGGCAATTCCGGCCGTTCCCGACCGGGGTCTCCATGAAGAAAGCCCGACCTGCTACCTGCAAAGACCAGAAGAAGAAGACAAAGGCAAGTCGGTCGTGGTGGAGCTTATGACGGTCGGGATATTCCCTACCAATATATATATATATATATATATATATATATATATATATATATATATATATATATATATATATATATATATTATTTATAATTAAAATTTAATATTCATATAAATATTTAATTAAAATATAATTTATAATTAAATTAATTGTTATATGATAATTTTAATAAAATGATAACTAAAAATAGGAAAAAGATATGATAGATGTAGGTGTATGGTAAGATTGATGGACATATTAAATACTAACGGTGTTATAACGGTGTAAGGGTAATTTTGTCCAATACAAACCAAATGTACAACAATTAAAACAAGATGTATATATTTATTAGCATATAAAAAGGGACAAAAATCAAGGACATAACTTGTATTGACACTTATTATGTTTTTAGATTTTGCATAAAAGAGTGATATGCCTTCGCAATAACTTGTAACATTATATTACAACGTACGAAAGACAGGTTTGCCTTGAATCATATTACCTTGGCTATGCTTGTAAAAATATTGGAATTCCCCCTCATTTGATAAGCAATATATATAGCCTGGAAACTACTCTTTAGCAGGGACGGAGCCAGAAATTCGATTGAGGAGGGGCGAAGAAGTAGTACGGATTCAGAATTATTTTTCAGTAAAAGTGAAACATTAAAACAAAAGAGATAATTTAAAAAAAAATAAATAAATTACCAAACTTTATAAAAATATTCATAACATAATATGAAACATAATTAATTAATTAATAAAATAATTTGAATAGAAAACACATTATAAATTACACATATTAAAAAAGTGGCCATAGGGGAAGGACTCAAAAATATGTTAATGCAAGGATTTGAACTCAAGACCTTTCCCATTAATAAACACATGCCTTACCAACTACTCTTCTAACTCCTTAGGCTATCCTTATCCCTGCACATAATTCCATTTGCAAATCATCTACTATTCACACTACATCCCTACAAATTCATCTTACTCTAAAAAATGGGTCCCACATTCATATTATATTATAAATATAATAATAAACAAAATTAAAAATTAAACAAAAAATAAAAAGTCAATTGCTCGGCAGCTTTTGCTAAGCTGCCAAAAGACTGGCTTGCAAATTTGCTAAAATAGCAAATTTGCAAGCCAGTTGGCATTAAAACAAAAGAAAAATAATATCATATATTCCATGTCATCTTCCATTTCACTTTGTCAATACCATATTTGCAGGGGTAACTTCAGCCTTACTTGTTAATATTTACTAATTTTTTTATACTAATACTAACACTTATACTATATATACATATATACATACTATGGGGTGGGGGTGGGGTGAGGGGGGCAACTGACCCCCCTCTGCCTCCGTCCCTGCTCTTTAGTCAACTGGCCCACCTTTATCACCTTTTATATTGAGAGTAATTTTACATGGACTTCCAATTTATACTCTCATTTTCTGCTACTTCCTATGACTTGACATGACTTGATTGTGTAATTTAATAGGGGGCCATCGTGTTTATCTATTCTTTATTTTCTTTCTTCAATCAAATTTGAACACAAATGGAAATAAAAATTGGGAAGTCCATGAAGTATTTTTATTATATTGATATCCATAATTATTGTTGCTAATTAAGTGTTCAGTCTATTATATATAACACTCTGAGTTATGGGGCTGAGGTGTAAATACTGGAGACGTGGCGTCTAAACTGCATCAAGACGGAAAGTTTATGGGGCAAAGTGCGATGTGGCATAAAGTACATGGTGTCAAAGCACCAAAAAAAAAAAAACAAAAAAAAAAACAAACAAACAAACAAACAGAACAAAACAAAACAAAACAAAAAAAAAAAAAAAAAAAAAAAAAAAAAAAAAGGCTAAGGGCGTGTTTGACAACACGAATGTATCAAAAATCAAGAAAATGCCAAAAGGAGGAGGATTGGGGCAGAGGGTGGTGAGGGGGCGGTTTACCCCCAATTGATTAACTAAGGAGCTTGCTGTTGGCGGGCTATAACTGACCATCGTCTGCATCTAGTGGATGTGCACAAACGCGAGGTGCTATACGACATCGCCCTATTTGTTGGCTGGTCCAACGGCGTAGCTGACTGGTTTGCCATGGTTTGATGCCCAACCAAGGCTTTAGTTGGACCTTGTGAGCCACAGTCAGGTTAGCCAGAGCAATTCAGGGCAAGTTGAAAGGGTGAGATTGAGTGGAGATCTAGTTCTGGGCATTAGGTGTTAACATTGTAGCAAATTGAGATTATAAAATAAAAAATAAATAATAATAATAAAATAATAATAATAATAATAATAATAATAATAATAATAATAATAATAATAATAATAATAATAATAATAATAAAGCTAACCACAAAAAAGTAGTTACATAGGAGTGGCAAATATTATGTGATTTTTGTAGGGATGACAAACATTTCCCTGTTTAAAATTTATTCACATTTGAAGACTTAATTAATTATTATTTTAAAAATAGTTTCACAGTTTATTTGATGTTTATTTCAATTTTAAAATAAACGATGAGATTTACTCAAATTTAATTTATGGAAAATGGGCTAGTCTAAAGGTGTTATCAAATCAATTGTGTAGTCTGGTGGTAGTATTTAATCATTATACCACGGGGCATGATTCTGAAAAATATACTATTGTAATAACCCAAAAGACAAAATGACGGAACAATCCCCACAAAAAAAGTTCGCCCGGTGGGCTGAACAACAGGAACTCCAAAATATATGTAGTAAACCTAAAATAGAGTGGGATCTACAGTTGTCAGACCCAATTGAATACAAGCCATCAGATTATCGATAGGAACAATCCCACAACAACAGAACAATACCACAGTATCTAAAAAACAGAACATAGAATGAGATCTACTTCGGTGGTTTGACAAAACCGAATACAACTCAATAAATCGTCATCGCATGCGATGAGCACCATATTTTGATGCTCATCCCTGTAAAAAAACTTCAGACGACTGCCTCTCAGAGAAGGCTTACGAAAGATCACGGAATCTTGTAATTTCTGTACGGAGGGCCTACCTGTCAGCACAATTTTAGATACCTCTCCGTAGTGATTCACAGCGAATACTGGTTCCTGGGCAGCCATGTTGTGGTTCTGGCGGTTTGCCTGATTTGGGTAGTTTGCCTGATTTGGGTAGTTCGCCTGATGATTTGGGTAGTTCGCCGGACTGGGGTAGTTCGCCGGATTGCGGTAGTTCGCCGGATTGGGGTGGTTAGCCGGGTTGGCCCAAGGGTAGTTAGCCTGATTTGGGATCGGGGGCGGCGCATAATTCGCCGCCGGGGGATTTGGGTAGTTCGCCTGGGGATTTGGGTAGTTCGCCGCCGGGGGATTTGGGTAGTTCGCCGGGGGATTTGGGTAGTTCGCCGGGGGATTTGGGTAGTTCGCCGCCGGGGGATTTGGGTAGTTCGCCGGGGGATTTGGGTAGTTCGCCTCCGGGGGATTTGGGTAGTTCGCCGCCGGGGGATTTGGGTAGTTCGCCGGGGGATTTGGGTAGTTCGCCGCCGGGGGATTTGGGTAGTTCGCCGGGGGATTTGGGTAGTTCGCCGCCGGGGGATTTGGGTAGTTCGCCGGGGGATTTGGGTAGTTCGCCGCCGGGGGATTTGGGTAGTTCGCCGGGGGATTTGGGTAGTTCGCCGTAGCCGGGTTCGCCGCCGGGTTGGCCCAAGGGTTGTTCGCCTGATTTGGGATCATCGCCGCCCCCGGCGGCGCATAATTCGCCGCCCCCCCGGCGGCGCATAATTCGCCGCCCCTCCCGGCGGCACATAATTCGCCGCCCCTCCCGGCGGCGCATAATTCGCCGCCCCTCCCGGCGGCGCATAATTCGCCGCCCCTCCCGGCGGCGCATAATTCGCCGCCCCCCCCGGCGGCGCATAATTCGCCGCCCTAGCCATTCCGCCGGAGTTAAAAAAAGGTGCGGCAAAGCCCCAGCCGGTGTCCATTCTTTCCATCGTAATCTTGAATCTTGATTCCTCAGGACGAATCTAAATGGAGTAACTGTTTTGAAGCGACTCGAGGATGAATAATCATGAGTCTATTATATATCCAATTAATTGGATTTGTTATTTAGTTTTAGCCGTTAGTCCGATCTGTTATCCATAATATCTATTCTTTTTTTTCTTAAGAATCATTTTTATTTTTTTTTTTTGCTTTTCTATATTTTCTGTTATTGTTTTTAACTAGTACTAGTATTGTCACTTCACACGGACATATAGCCTTTTTCTTCCCATGGTCTGTCAGGAGGCCTATAAAGGCTGCTTTAGTTGCTGTTTCTGAACATCTGGCAGGAATACTTCCTCTCCATCTTGTTTACAGTGAAGCCCATGAAACTGCAATTGAGGTTTGCCATCCATGGGATGTTAATTTTTGTTTCCACCTTGATTACCTGATATTTTAAAGCTTTTCAGGATTTGTTCATTTTTAAGCTCATATGCCAATCAAGTGCCTTCCTTATGCTTGTAGAAATCTTAAACATTTGACTCATGAATCTTCTCTCTGTCTCTCACACTCTCTTCTCCATCCTCCCTACTTTTCATGCTTGTTTAAGGAACTAATCAAGTGCCTTCCTTATGCTGTGTAAGATTTTAGTTCCTTATTTTAGTGCTTTTTACTCACTCTACTAGCAATTCTGCCCTTAACTATTGAGTTATAGAATTAGGAAAATGGCCTAGTTGATTATTTTTTGTTCTGCAGATGGATGTTCTTGTGTGGTTGCAATGGCCAGCTTTTGACTGTGATTACTGTGAAGCATATTCAAACTACAGGTGTGTAGATTTTAATTCTCAGGCTGTCTTTGATGATGGTATAGTTGTGCCACTTGTTTATCTGCTCCAAGTGAATGAATGGGTTGTTATTGTCTAATGCTTTATAAGTTTTTGCTGTGTGGCCAAATAAATTGCCAACACTTAGTCCATATTTAACTCCCTCAAAGTTCATGCTTGTGAAATTTAATTTTCCTCTATCCACCATATGTTATCTCTTATTTGTAATGTCCATGATACATTTTCCAGAACTTAAAATAGGTATATTCCTAGCATACTAAATTAAATAATGGCAGCATTTGGTACAAATGTTGGATTGAACATCTATGTGCATCTAACACCTGATTCACTCTGAATTGAACATCTATATTCAGGTATGCAGTACTGTAGTCTTGAACTGTAAGTATTCTTTATCTATTTTATTTATATATTCATAAAGTTGATTCAAAATAAAACTACAAACTATCATTACTTTGCTCTATTTTGGTTGTGGTTCCACGTGTACTTGCTACAGGTTGGAATGTTGGCACCATCTTCTTAATGTGGCTATTAAATATGGGTGTATGAGCCATTTCATATACTTGAAATGGGAGCTTGTCCAAAGACAACTCTTACAAAGGAAGCCAATTGGACTAGGTATGTCAAATAGTGAATTTCCCTTACTGCTCTCTTGCCACATTTTTATATACTTCTATCAAATATGTTCTTCTACATTGACAGGAAAATGCTTGTGTCTATGTAATGAGAACAAGAGCAAATTGTTTGAAGTTTCAGGCCACTATGAGTTCAAAACTCAAGGGTATCACTCTTTCATGTTCAAGGTCAGTGCAATCATGATTTCTTTATGACAAAACCAGTAAGAAATGTTAGTTGCTCCTGTGTCAGGTTATATACTAATTCTGTTCTCTGCTTCAGTTGCTGCAAATTTTGCAGGATTTTCGGTGGTTTGTAGGTGGGCAGTCTCCTGGTTACCTAAATGCAAAAGACTTGAGGCAAAATAACCAACAGATACATTACTATGGCTATTTGTTATAATTAGTTTCTTTGATTTAGTTTTTACGAAGTTGTATGAAACATTTCATTTTGATAGTGATTATAAAGTCATTTAATATATTGATCCAGTTCACTTTGATTGCATTTTTTAATAAAATATCTATAGTTACAACATAACATAATATCGATTAGTGAGAAAAAATGTATTACAAATTTAATATTTAATGAGAAGTAATAGTATATATAAAATTAGAAAAATAATATTTGACATTAAATTATAATTTTTAGTGACGGGCAAAATCTAATATAATGAGGAAAATTTTGTTAGTAAATAGTAGTACTAATGACGGGATTTTTCATCGTTACAAGAATGTAATGAGAGTAAATTATGGTAGTGAGCAGTTGTATTAGTGACGGGATTTTTTGTCATTAAAAGAACATTTTAGTGACGGTAAATACACTATCACTATATACTTATTAATGATGGTATCATATCCCGTCACTATTTGTTTCACTATTTGTTTTTAACCGCGGAAGCTTTAACGACGGGTGACGATAGTAAATTTCCCATCATTAAAAGTCTTTTATGATGGTTTTTGATTCTTTAGTGACGGTTTTACCTCTCATTAATGAACAATTTTTTTGTAGTGTATTACTCACTATTAATTGCAATATTAGAAAACCAAGAGAAGAAACATTGGTAATTGATTCAAAACTTGGAAACCAAGTTTAAACTGACATGTTTCTTTTAAACACGAATTTGGAAACCAAAAAATACACAACTTTACACAATAACCTAAGTGTTTTTACTAACTATTAATTGCAATATTATAAAACCAAGAAAAGAAACATTGGAAACTGATTCAAAACTTGGAAACCAAGTTTAAATTTACATGTTTCTTTTAATATTTTGATCACGAATTTAGAAACCTAAAAATAGGTAAAGTCAAAAATACCCCCCTGAACTGAGCGGGAAAAATAGAGCCAAATCTCCTGGCTATATTGGTATAAAGATAAAGATTTAGAGCTCAATCATGCCGGCCTGCATATACATTATGTAGGTACTGTACGCAACCAACTAGCAAATTAAAACAGTGGAAAATTAAATATTGTAATGCACGCTACACATACTCCTACTACTTGCGCAAATTAATAACGTGCAAACTAACACAGTAATTAAATTAACCTAAGATATATGATATTCTATATGCATTCATCATCTATAGAACAAGGAGAGAGAGAGAGATTACGCTGATGAGATGAACAGATCGCCGGAGGTGACTTTCCTGTGCACAGATGAAACGAACAGATCGCCGGAGGTGACTTTCCTGTGCACAGATGAAACGAGAGAGTACGTTTCAGAAGCCGAGTAAATTAAAACTTGTCAGCAAAAGCTAATGTATAGTATATATAGTAGATAGATACAGAAATAGAAGTGAAGATCTTAAAATTCTGTAGTGAAATTCATTTTAAATATCTTTTTACAAATCGTTGATATAATTCGCTGGTCAAAGCCGCTAACGCTAACCGCTAACCTCTAACTGTTGATTATCAAACAAGGACATCGCGGGGTAGTTCTCACTTCAATTTGTTGTGTGATTTGAATACTCTCTTTGTCAACAAATCCCTCAAAGTAGTTAATATGACTGACTTTATTAATTATATTTTTTTAATTTTTAATTTTTTCATGGTATTAAAAAATACTTGGTAAATAAATATATAGCATTATTTTATATTATAACTTTGATATTTAATTAAAAAATAGTCCACAAAAAAGATAATACATTAGAAAAAAATAAAGACAATATAACTAATGAAATTATTTTTCTTAATTAATTTATTGATAATGAATAATTTGTTTTTAATAAGGACATTGTAGCGAATATAATTAATTGATGAATTTGAATGCAAATAATTTTTATATTGGTGAAAATAAACACAATTTATTGATAATGAATAAAGACATTGTAGACTCACAATTTTGTTGAATGCTACTGGCTCTATACTTTCTCAACCTACTGAAATACAGATTCGAACTCACAATCTTCCAAATAGAAGTACAACCTGGGTACCATTAAACCATATAGTCTTGGTGTAGACACATAATTTTAAATTAAAAAAATACATATGTATTATTTGTTATTGTAGCTACTAAATTATTAATTAATTTAATAAGAGTAAATTAATTAGTTAGCCTAAATAGTAGTGCATGTGTTTGATTGAGAAAGGTCACGGGTTCAATTCCTTTCAAATGTTCTATGAACACTGTTTTTACACACACACACACACACACACACACACACACACACATATATATATATATATATATATAAAATTAGATGTTTAATTTATAAGTATTTTTATAAAATTTTGATGTGTTTTATTTTTCGTTCATATCTAACAATATTTAATTTATCTATTTTATTTTAATGTGCCCCCACTGAACAAAATTTTTGGATCTGTTACTGAATTGGCATATATATATATATATATATATATATATATATATATACACACACACGGAAACGAACTCTAGTTAATCGCCTGTTGCGGGCGATTAACTAGAGTTCGTTTCCGTATGACTGTTTGCTAAAATAATTTCAGCAACTACCCCCCTCCCCCCTCTGACTCCGTCCTTACTTATAAGGGAGGTCTGACTCCGTCCTTACTTATAAGGGAGGTCATGAGACCACAAATGATATGTAGTGACTCACCCATAAGGGAGGTCATGAGACCACAAATGATATGTAGTGACTCACCCATAAGGGAGGTCATGAGACCACAAATGAGTTTTTGAAGTATCATTGTTTTTGAGTTCGGAACTATGATGTTTGTAAATGTCAAGCACCTTGTGCTCAGATGATATATAGTGACTCACCCATAAGGGAGGTCATGAGACCACAAATGAGTTTTTGAGGAATCATTGTTTTTGAGTTCGGAACTATGACTTCCCATTTGAGGAAATCACACTTTACATTTATACTATTTGATCACAATGCAAAGTCTTTGGCATAGTATCATTGTTAATATTAATGTAAATTGATCTTATAAATTACTGGTAAAACTTTTATTTATAGGAGCAAGTACATATAATAACTCTTAATAAATATATTGTGGGTGTTTGAACGTTTTGAGAAAATTAAAGACCAAATTTAATCACCTTATTGAGTTAATACCCAAAATTGTCCTCGACTATAGTGGTTTTTCTCAATTTCGTCCTAAACGACTTTGGTGACTTAATATTGTCTCAGACTTCTGTGTTTTTACTCAATTTAGTCCCAAACTTTTGTGTTTTTGCTCAATTTAGTCTCTCATTTGTTATTCCGTCCATTTGTTGTTAAATAAATAGATAATTCAGTAATTTTAAAATTGGCATCTCTTTACTCGTAGACATGTGAAGTGCGAAATTCATTTTTTTTTTTTACGAATTACTCCCAAAATCACTCTTAAACATGCGAATATAAAATTTGATTCGTAGGTCTAGGAGTAATTCTGAGTATAATTCGTGCAAGAAAGAAAGATTTCTCACTTCGCATGTTGAAAGTAAAGAGAAGTCAATATTGATATTATTGAATTGTCCCTTTATTTAACATCAATTTGACAGAATAACAAACGGAGGAATAAATTGAGCGAAACACAAAAGTCTGGGACAATATTAGGTCACCAAAGCCATTTAGGGCGAAATTGAGAAAAACCACTATAGTCGAGGACAATTTTGGGTATTAACTCTCACCTTATTTGTGGGAAGACTAATGTGGCTATGTTACACTAATAAAGAAACTAAGAGGGTGTATTCAATCATAACTTTTATAGAATTTTAAAATCTTTTAAAATAATAAATTTTAATAAACTTTGATTGACTTAGAGTTGTTCAAAACTTTATAAGACTCTATAAAATTATATATAAAAAACATTCATAGACTTTTATCAACTTTTTATTTTTAAAAAATCTATAAAAAAAAACATTGAAATTCTAAATTGAATACATCCTTACAAACTTTCAATGATTTTGATTCTTATCATTTACAATTTTCTTACAAACATTTATAATATATCATAAAATTCTTCTTATTATATAGTTTTCATCCACATAAACATTCTCAACATTATTATATATTAATAAACATAAAAAAAAAAAAAACTATTCCATTATAAATTCATAACAATATTGAACAATAAAATTTATAATAAAAGACTTGATCAAATAAAATATTTAAAAATATAATTATAAGTTGCATAAAAAAAATTAATATTAATAATATATATAAAATTATACTTGATATATTGCTAGGCATCATGCAAAGAACTATTATTTGCAATAGTAATTTGAGACTGCAAATAACAATAAGGAGCTACTGTTTGCAATCCTAACTTGTTGTTGCGAACTCCTAACTTGTTGTTGCGAACAATAATTCGTTATTCGTAGTAACCTGTTGTTAATATATATATATATATATATATATATATATATATATATATATAGAAAAACGCTCATATGTGGTAATGTCATTAGGTATGGTCGTGTGGTCGTATCTGGGTCGTTGAATCAGTTTAATCTAAAGGCAGTGGTAATTCTGAGAATTTTCGCGCGTTTTAGTAAGTGGGGGAGTTATGGTAATTACAGTGACCATTTATAGCGGGCGGGTTCCAGAATACACCAACAGTGTTGACAACATACACCAATAGTGTAATAAAACACACCACAGTGAAACACACCAATGGTGTATTCCCGTGTTATGGTAATTACAATGGCCATTTATAGCGGTCGGGTTCCAGAATACACCAACAGTGTTGACAACATGCACCAATAGTGTAATAAAACACACAACAATGTGATTTTTCCTATTCCGGTGTTTTATGACAAGTTTACCCTTACAGTTCTCTGGGTAGGAGAATGTGCGCGAAAATACTGGAAAAAATCTTGATTAATATGAATCATTAGATCTATCTAATCTAATGGTCTATAATTGACCATATGACCACACCTAACAACATGGCCACATGTGAGCGCTCCTCTCTCTCTCTCTCTCTCTCTCTCTCTCTCTCTCTATATATATATATATATATATATATATATATATATATATACTAGTCTTTTTTATGCGCGATGCGCATAAACATATGCCCAATATTTATA